GCCCCCTCAGGTGCCTTCCTCCCCACTCTGGATGCCTTTACACCAGGCATCACTGATGTGGATGGGTGCCTAGCAGGTGCAAAGTAGGTTCACACGCATCACGTCATATAATCCTCCCTGAGTAGCCGATGAGATGAACAGAATGGTCCCCACTTCACAGAGAGGAAAAACTCAGGATTGGGCACAACAAAGTGTCTTGCCTCATGTCACAAACCAAACACATGGCAGAGCTCGGATTTGAACTTCAGCCTGTCTGGACTCCAGGGCCTCCTGCCAGCCTCCCTCCACTTGAGGCCCCGGACAAAGTCCCTGAAATGAAAGACCACCGCATCAGACAACACGGCGTCCCGAGTTTGAGCCTTGAGCTCAAACAGACAAGGGTCTTGGTGGCCACTGTCTTGTCCGTTTTCTTCCCTCTTTAACCAAACAGAACAGGCTTCGGGCTCAGGCCTGGGTGGAGTCGAATTGCCAGGTTGTTTGTGTTGTGTGTATTTTTAGTTATTTTCTACCTGTGGCCTGTTTTCTGGTTTTCTATAGATGGCTGTGACGTTAATTTTTCTGTTTGAACAAATTTCTTTTTTTTTTTAATATAGATTGATTTAAAGATCCCTCTTGAGTGCATAAGAGCACAAAAGAGTTGGGGATTCAGCCACAATATCAACAGTGGTTTGGGAATGAAAGAAATTTGGGGAATTGAGTGAAAATAGAGAGCATGTCTCCCAACAAGAAGGGGGCCCCGGCCTCACACTCCCACTGTCACGACTACGCACTGCCCTGACCCACCTGGGCCTGAACGGGAGGAAGCCGGCCATGGGTCTCTAAGCTCTCACCTGGCTTCTTCACACCTGGCACCCTCCTGGGCACACAGGAGATCCTTAATAAGTATTTGTTGGCCAAATGAATCTATGAAAAAAGAATAGGTAGATGAAATTTGGAGCAGACTCTATCACTTCCAAGACAAATGGCAAAGTGCTATCTGAGATCGAAGTGCTTTTGGAGATCATCCAGGGCAATCCCTTCACGGCGCAGGTGAGAAACAAGGGCCCTGGAAGGAGAAGGTGTTTGCCCAAGTCACAAAGTCAGCGTCTGGGCAAAGCAGGGCCGGGAACTAGGGCTTCCTGCCTGTGATTATCCTCCTCAGCGCACCAGCTTGTCACCTCTGGTGTGTGCCCACATGAATGACCTCAGCCTGGGCAGACAGGAAATCAGCCTCCTGACATCCCACATGCATTTGGAAAGCCACCCGCTCGGAAGCCACACAAAGGCTTTCTGCATTATGTGGAAGGTCAAGCTGGATCACATCAAAGGGGTTCTGCCCCGGGGTTCTGACGTTGGACACTTCCCTTCTTGGCTGGGGCTATTCCTTCTCATATCATCAAGTATGCTCCTGGTGGGCATCTCTGCAGTTCCAGAAGTCTCCAGAAGCTGACTGTGCAACAGAAGCCATGGGAAGCAGAATCACAAAATCTACTATCTCAGCAGTGTCACCTGCTCAGGGAGGCCGATCTGACCACTGCCAGCACCACCAGCTCCTCCAATCACCCTTACCTGCTTTACGTAATGCTCTTATCATTTGTTAACCCTATGGTGTATTGCATGCCTCCATCTACTAGCTGGGAACCTCCACAAGGGCAAGGAGCTTTGTATGTTTTGTTCACCAATGTGTTTCAACCCCACAGTGGCACAGAGTGGATCCTCTGCAAATATTTGCTAGATGGGTGGATGGACAAATGAAAACTGAAATACTCAGAGGACTTGCATTTAGTCTCATATCTGTGGCTCTCCAGTCGTGGGAACATGGGCAAGTTATGTGGTCTCTCCTGAGCCTCGGTTTTCTCATCAGTAGAGTGAAACGGTCCCACCAGCTTGAAGGGTTGGTGGGTCGGTGGGTCGGCGGGTCAGTGGAAAAGCCTACGCAGCACCAGTCCTGCGGGAGGCAGGTAGGAAGGGTTGCTTACTTCAAAGGCAAACTCCGTGTACTCAGTTATTCATTCGTGAGGTCGGTCAGTCCACAACAGGTGGCCCGTGAAGGCTTCTTAGAAGAGGTAGGAGTCAGTCTTTTCTGGAAGCAGGAGTACCACTCTGAAAGGAGCTGGCGAGCGTGGCAGAGAATGGGGAACAAGGAGAGCGCCAGGGCAGGGCAGGGTGGAGCCGTGTGAGCCGGTGCAGGGAGGTGCAGGGAGGTACAGGGAGGTGGCGAGGCAGAGCGCATGCTCGGCAGAACCACGGGAGGGCGCTGGCCATGTCTGGAGCAAGGGTGACTGCTGTGGTAGTCTGTCTTCTCCGCAAACACACACTGAGCGTGTTCTCTGTGGCCTGGCCTGGGAAGTGGGGCCAGGGGATGCCCAGTGTGCAGCCAGAGGGACACCTACAACACACGAGTGTGCCTGAGTCACCCTCCAGTGAAACACCAGTGACAGCTCACCATAGTTCTTCGGTTAAAGACCAGCATTCCCCCCGGGGCCCCTGACGCCCCAGCCTACCTCTCCAGCCTCACCGCCCACTCCTCCTGACTTATTTTGTTGTGCTGGTCACATTAATCTCATTTCAGTTTCTTGGCCCTGCCAACTTCCCACCCCAGGGCCTTTGTACATGTTGCTCCCCTGTGCTCGGTAGTCTTCCTCTGCTACCACTCCAAGTTCCTCCCCTCTTCTTTCTCTCCTCCATGATAGAGTTTATTTCTGTAGTGCAGAATGAATATATGGCTGCGAAGGTAGGAAGTCATATAAAAAATATTTAAGATGTGCAGTGGTCGTTCTTAGAATAAAGTCGGTTAAAGGAAAGGTCGGTCAAGCACTAGAGCTTATGGAAGACCAGCCAGCATTTTCTAGATTGTGAACTACACCGGGACAAACATACCTGTATGCAGGCTTAATTAATAGTGGCAGTTCAAGAACAGATGAGCTCCCAGCATTCGGAGCTCCCTCAGCCTTGTTGGAGCCCCCAGCCTGGGTCAGACTCCCGTTCCACACCCTCGAAGGCCCCCATGGCTTTCTCTCATCATGCTCACTGGAGCTCGTGATCAGAAACGCATGGGGGTGCCGACGCGACTCGCAACTGTTTCTCCCACTGGATATTAATGACGTGAAGACAGGAACCAGGTCTGTTTGGATCAGTAACTAGTGCACGGGTTGCCACCCCATAAATCATTGTTTAATGCGGGATTGATTGTAGCCCACATCGGGGTGGAGGGGAAATTCAGACCCAGGAGCCATGGAGGTGAGTGCTTTATTGAAGGGCTGCTTGGAAGTTGCCAGAAAGGTAGAGAAGATCTCATAACGATGTCATAATGGACTGGGCATTAAAGGATGAGCAGGAGCTCGTCAGGCAGGGTGAGAGTATTTCCCAGTCGAGGGGACAGCACAGGCAAGTGCCTGGAGCACCGTTTTTTAGAAAAGAGCTGGTCACCTCCGAGACGTGAGTGAGGGCAGCAGAAGACCGTAGCTCTGGCTCTCTGCCGAGCACCTGCTGCGTGCCAGGCTCAGCGTCTATGCAGTGCCGTGTAACCCTTAGACCTCCTCACCCCCCTGGGGTAGGCATTACGACCTCCTTTTAAAAAATGGAGCTCAGAGGAGTTAAGTGACACGTCCAAGCCACCCAGCTATTCAATGGCTGACCTGACTATCGCATGTCCCCAGTGGCTAATGTTGCAGACCTGAGCTGACCACTGAGCATTTCCGCGTGTGTCAGGTGTCTGCCCACCCCCACCCCGCCCCCTCAGGCTGGTGCAGGGTCTCAACCTTCTCTGTCTCCCTCCCTCTCAAAGAGGGGTGCTTACTCTGGTGCTCCCCTATCTGAGCCCTTGCCACACGGTAAACTAGCTTTCTCTGCCAACCTGTGTGGGGGCTGGGTCTCCAGGGCCCTGGGGGTGCCCAGGATGGAGGAGGGGGTGCTTATTGAATACGCATAAGCCGAAGGGGCCTGGGGGGGGGGCTCTCGTACCTGGGAGAGGATCTCAGGAAGGACCAGCGGGGTGCCCAAGTCCACGTGGAACCCGTCCCTGCCCTAACCCAGAAGACCAGTATTTGTGGGCCGTGGCTAACCGCGTGGCCATAGGAAAGTCACCTCATGGCTCTGCATATGGATCTGTCACATGGATGTCCATTCTGGCCGCCCACAGGGGAGCTGTGACCAGAACTCAAAAGGCACAGTGAGCTGTGAATTGCTAGGCACACCCAGGGGGTGACAGCTGATGCCGGCGCAGGCTTAGTAGTGCCAGGCCAGTCGGTGCCCCCTCCTCTCAAACACTTCTTCGGGCAGCGGGGATTCATGGCAGGAGGCAAAGGAATCAGCTGCCGGCAATGAGGGCTCCCTGAGGCATGATCAGGCGCCCCCTAGTGGTCATGGGCAGACCCTGCAGGGCCACGTTTTCCAGGGCAGACGCAGGGACCCCATTCACTCTTCAGCTGAGCTTGCTAACAGGTCCAAGCCCCAGACTCTTCTTGGCAGGCTCTGGAATCAGGCAAACCTGGCAATGGATCCTAGCTGCTTCTACTCCAGGCTCCATCCCTCTAATGCTGGGCCAGCCCCACCTCCTCTTTGCCATCTGATTGGATGCCTGGCTGAGCCCAGCGAACTCCCATGTGGACCCTGGGGGGACATGACTTTGTAGCTCACATACCAAAGACCCAAGGCTAGGGGCTCACCAAGCGGAACTAGCTTTTCTAAAGCAGCGTGCTAGTTTCTTCAGAGCCCCAGAGGGGAGTATCCCTGTCCTCGTTTCAGGAATACAGAAATAGAGGCTCCGAGGTGATATGTGGCTTTCCCAAAGACACTTTGTTCCTAAGATTTGAACCCAGGTCTCTCTCACTCCAAAGCCCAGGTACTTGCCTTGTCTCATAGCTTCCCCAAATTATCCACCAACAGCCAGCAGAACTGAGGGGGTGTTTATTAAATCACAAAGCCCCTCTGCCTCTCCAGGGAGAGAAGATCACAGCCAGCCAAGTGGGTGGGGGTGGGGCATCTAAGCCCAATGACGCTGGACCGGGCAGGGAGGGGGCTGAGGGAGGATGGGGACGGGGGGGGGTGGTGCACAGGAGCCCCCAGAGCCAGCGGCGCTGCCTGTTTGGATGGTGGTCTTGGGAGCTCATGAAGGCGTGGGATTAGATTAGAAGGTCCTGGGATCCCAATTTGAGGCAGATGAAACATTTTCAGCCCCAGGCTGCCTCTGGGGCCCACAGCGAGCTGGAACGCCCCCTTATTCCCCAGTAGGATTAGCAATCTTTCCCAAGAAGATGATGGTGGGCAGGACGCTATCCCTAATAAACACCAGAAAGGGTTTGTTCAGCTTGATGGAGAGCGGCATCTCCATGGGCAGCGTCTGGACTCCGGAGGCGGCCGCACCTTCTGTCCCCTTCTCATCCATCTTCAGCACCGCCTTGTGCACCGCCTGCAGGAATCAGGATCGAGGTCAGTGTCGCGAAGCCACTCTGGGCCAAGGACAGTGAGAGGCCCAGAGAGGGAAAAGCCTCAGCCAGGGTGGCCCAGCACAGCAGTAACCTGGCTGGTGCCAGGCGCCACAGGCTCCTTCTGCTGTCATTGCCGGAAGGATGCGGGACAAGCAGACTCAGCGTGAAGGGACCAATGCAGCTGGGGCAGCATCAGCTGCAGCAGGGAGGATGGAGTGGGGTGCGCTATCCTTCCATGAATTACAGGGAAGTGCTGAGCATCATAATGGCAGAAAGAATCTGCGGAACCTTAGCTAGATGGGAGGGACTTGGTGACATCCCCACCAGGAAGCCTCCAGCCCTGCTCACACTCCTCTTAGCTTCCTGGGGGACGGTGAGAAAGGAACCAAATCGGGGGGTGCATCAGAGACGACTGAGACACCAGATCTACCCCAGGGCACCCACATCTGTGACGCGGTGATTCACCCTAGGACGTGGAAGTTTCTGTACATACTGATGCATTTCATTCCATTCTACAAAATCCTAACAGTTTTACTAGCGCGCCAGCCAGGAGCCACTGACAGTCACAGCCGTGGGCGCACCTAACTGCAGAAAAGAAATGAGCCGTGGAACTGAGTAAAGGCCCCCGGAAAGGGGTAGCTGGCACTGACTATTTTTGGGAAGTCTATGTTAAAAGGGAGAAAATTCTACTGTTTTTCTTCCTCTTGCAAATTGGAAAATAAATCTGAATCAGTGCCTACTGGGATCTCTCCCAGACTGGCTCGAACTTCCCACTTAGAACCCGCCGATCTCCACTGCCCATAATGCCAAGCTCTCCCCCAGCCCAGCCTCTGGCCATGCTGCTCCCCCTACTGGGAGATCCTCCCCGCACCTATCTCTGCTCCTTGCAATCTCCCCACCCCCAATGCCCTTTTAACCTAAAAGTAGGGTTGCCAGGTGAAATGGGGGATGGACCATTAAATTTGAATTTCAGATAAACGATGAATATCTTTAGTGTAAGTCTATTCCATGCGATATTTTGGACTAAAGAAATTATTGGTCACTTGCCTGAAATGTGAATTTAACTGGGTGTCCTGTATTATATCTGCTCAACCTGGGGACCCTACCCCATACGGTCCTCTCTGCCCCCAGCAGGCAGGCGCTCAGCCTTGCTGGAAACCCCGGGGCCCATGGCTGGTTCGTCTTTTGGTCATGCACACGTTTGCAGCTTACTCCCAACAAGCCCGTGAGGTCTTTGGGAGAGGCTCTGGGTCAGACCTAGAGTGGTTCTAGGACCGATAAATGTGCCAGGCCTTGATCACTTGTTTGTTGCACGGAATCGACCTCCAAAATGGGACCAGGAGCTTAAAGACTGGAAACATGAGGCTTGGGGAAGTGATGTGACTGTCCCAGGGTGACAAGGGCTGGTGAGGGACAGTGCTGGATCAGCGCCCGGCCTGACTGGCAGGACCAGACCCAGCTCATTCGGCTGCTGGGACAGTGGCTCTGGCCCAGGGCTGCAAGAACGCTCCCTGCGGGAGGAGTGGCATCCGGGCCGAGCAGGCTTACCTTACCCACTTTCAGGCTTCGATGAGGGGCGATCCGGGTGAGATCACCATGCTCCTCAAAGATTTTGGTGATACCCAGATAGGAGAGTGTCTTCTTCAGGTCATAGTTACCAGTGATGGAGAACCTGGGCAGGGACACGTCTACGACCCTGGGGAGATGGGGGTGACAGGTGAGTGGCAGGGTCTCTTTGCTCTCCCAGGCAGGCCGCAGGAGAGGTGATGAATGGGACCTTGGTCTTCCCAGCCCCGGAGGTCTCAGACCCTCTCTTTGTCCCCACAACGAGGAGGGACTCTGGCCCCAGGACCCTGGCTTCAAACCACCTATGCTCTCTGAACCGTGCCCGTTCTTCCTAGCACACCCTCCCCAGGCCCTCACCCACAGAAATGGTCTCAAGTTCCCACTGTCTCAGGGCCTCTTTGGTTGCAGACACGGAAGTGTCGTCCCCCTCACAGTGCTGGCCTTGCCCAAGCCCTGAGCCAGTCCTGACCCAGCAGGCTGGATGCCAGAGGCAGCGAGGGCCTGGGATCTGAAACCAGGTAGAACTGGGCTCAAACGCATTCTGACTCTCATGAGCTCCGTGACGTGGACCAAATGATCTCCCCTCCCTAAGCCACTTGGGCGAAACGATCGTGCTAATCACAGCAGACGGGGCAGTAAGAGTGTAAAGCAAATGGATGTGGGCGCTCAAGGAGTCCCTGCCCAGCAGGTGTTCCTCCTTCTGCCCTTCAGTTAGCAGCTTCACATCCTCCGTGGGTGGGACCCGACGGACCTCCCCGCTTGCGGGCTGGGATCAGTGGTCCCGGGAAACCTGTGGACCCTGGGTCCCTGTCCCCCTGGCCCTGAGCCCCATTTCTTCTTGCCTATCCAGGACCTCGCCCCTGCCTGCATTCCAATCTGTTCTGCGCCATCCATCGTGAATGGTGTCTGCCTGATCGCCCTCAGGGGGAGACCATGTTCTCCAATAATTGATATCCTACGAAACAAGAGCAAACACATCTCCACTGGCCCCGAGTCACTTCTCCAGCTTCCAGCCCATTCCTTTTCTTTCTTTCATGGTAGAAAGGAGTTGTCTCTGCCAGAGATTTCCACTTCCTCCCACAACTGCTGCAGCCCACTCCACTTGGGTCTTCGCCCTCCACCTTCCACTTTCCAGCGTCATGGCTGAGCTCAGCTTGCTTGACCCAAGAGACAGCTCTCCGAGAGTGGATCCCGTTTTTCCACCTTGAAGCATTCCAACCCAAGTCCATCTTCCCCCCCTTCACAGGCCACTCCTTCGCTCACCCTCTGCCAGAATCATCTCATCGCCCACCTGGGCTGTCTGTGATCCTCCAAGCCTCACCCCTGGGTCCTCTTCTCTTCTGTCTTTCCTCCCTCCAGAGGAACCTCATTCAGTGTCATGGCTTTAAATACTGGCCATTGGCCCAATGATTCCCAGACTTACCTTTCCACTCATTCATTCACTTAACAAATTAAGTGCCTCCTCTCTACCAATCGGATGCCTAGATGCATGTGTGAACAGAAGAAGCACAACCCGTGCCCTTGGGTGCGTGCTCTAGCAGGGAAGACAGACAAGAAAGTCCATACGATGAAAAGCATCCCGTAATCATCGATACATAGACTGGGAGTCTGTGTATAAGAAGACAGTGTGTGCAGTGGAGAAAAATACAGATCAGCTTGGGGGTATCAGCAATCCTGGGGCTCAGGGAAGATTTGAGAAACTCTGAAGGAGGCAAAGGCGTCAGGCAAGCTGGGTCATTTCTTCTGAGTGAAATGAGCTGCCAAGGAGATTGGTGGTTTCCAGCCTGTGCCCTACAGTTTCCGAGTTCACAGAGGTGTCTTGGGGAATGAGGGGTATGGGAGGTGAAGGGAAAGGGGGCTCCACTCCCTCTACCCCAACTTTATCCACAAATCCTGGCTTCATGCAATGTGGGCTCCGTAAGGTCACATTTCCTTTAGGATTCAAATTATGATGACTTGAGACCCTCCAGTTGGATTAGGGGAACTCAGAATCCTCATCTCCAAGTTATTTCTGCCAATTTCCCATGGGGTGCAGCTCTGGGGCCAGTAAGTGGTGCTCCATATTGCTGTGCCAAGCCCCTCTGGAGCCCTCGGGGCCAAGACTACCACCAGCCCGGGTTTGTAGCAGGGAGGATCGGGGGATGCTGTGCAGACCCCAAGCCTAGCAGCCCTCTTGGGATGACCTGCCATGTGGCCTGCTGCTTCTCCCCATCCCCCCGGTACAGTGACTTTATCTGAAGCATTCAGAACCGGAATTTCTCTTTTATGGAGCTTTCGGCTCAATTGAGATATCCAAGATGTGTTCTGCCATTCCCCCGAGGATGTGTTTGGTGTGGTAGAGCACCCATGGCAGCCCAGCTCTGTCCTAGCATCCTATCTACCTGCCCTAGAATCCTCCCTGGCTCCCAACAGTATGTCAGCCATGGCAGAGGCTCTTGGTGAAGACCCGTTGGGTGGAAAACAGGGGTGAGGGCAAGATGGAAGAGAGAGTGTACAGAGCAGGGAGGAGGCCATCCCAACACCACTCCTAACCAAGTCGACCCTGCAAGCCCCAGCCCTGACCCTTCTCGAGAAAATCAACTGGCAAGCACGTGCCTGAGAAGAATTCTGTTGGCTCATCTCAAATCTGTTCTAATTTTATGGTTTCTTTTTTAGAATATTGACTCACTTTGGTCCTTCAACTATTATAACTTATTTGGGGTACACTTCGCTGGTTTTGTTGTGATATTACAGTGGAAAACATGATTCCGTGTACAATAAACAGCTCCCTCTGATAGCCCGTGGTTGTCCTGGTGGTTCCTTTCTGCCTGGGATTCCATGACTCCTCTCCCATCCCCACGTGCCACTGTTCAGCCTGGAAGACTTAGCTCCGGTGCTCCCTGCTCCGTGGCGCCCCCCTCTGCCACCACCACCGGGGACCATGGTTTTGCTCTGTCCACTCTACTCTCATGATATAAGCATCTCCCTCTATAAACAAGGGCTTCGCTATATTCCTGTGACTTGTCTTCTGGTCTGCTTCCTACCAAAACACAAGTTCATCATGGAGCGCAGAATAGGACTTGGCCATGGGGTCAGAGCTCAATAAATCTGGGCTAGAAGAAGCAAAGAGTGGAAGGGAAGGCAGGAAGAAGGAAGCAGCTGCATATGCCAGGCACCCTCGTACCTTCGTGTGACTAATTTCTTCCATCTGTCAAGGGTGTCCCTCTTCAAGGCCGCCTCCACATTCTTCATTTTGCCCTCGTCAGGAAGGATGAAGGTGGCAGTGATCGTGCCCTGGTAGGGCATTTCCAGAACAGTGCAGGAGAGCTGTCTATCATAGCCGGCTTCATACATGCCTCCATGGAACATCATGGGCACCTTCACTCGCTTGTTTCCATCCAGAACGAAGTCTTCCTCTTTAGTTGCTTTTGGATCAAATTCATGTTGCCACCTGGCTTAGGAGTGAAGAAAGACAAAGTGGCATGAGTGTCCCGAAAGGGAAGGGCTGACTGGACCCAGGTAACCACTGGTCTCTGTCCACATGGATTCAAGGAGGGCATTTGGATGTTCTGGGATGTCAGGGCAGGTCTCCAGGAGTCCTTGGTCTTTGTGCCAGGCCCTGGGAACTCCTGGTAAGATGGGCATGGGTCTGATTGTTCCCAAAGTAGCCACGACCAGGGCTGCTGAGCTGAGAGGGTACTGTGGACTGCCTGAAGCCCAGGTGCTCCTGAGGCTGAGAGAGCCCACGGATTGTGTTCCAGCAGAGGGGTCTGGGTGATACCTAGTGGGAGTTATTTGGGTCTGGTGTGAGTGAAAAATACTCGATTCTAAGTCATGCCTGGAGTAGCTGCTGTCATGTAGGAATGAGAAAACCAATGGAACAGGCCACTCTTGGGAACCTGCTGAGGAGCAGCAAACACTCAAAGCTGGGTGTTTGGACCCTTCCTTTTTCACCCTGGGAACTCTTTGATGCCATGGGGCATAAACTTGGACCTGGGTCTTTTCGCACCTGCCAACCTCAGAGCCCCCAGTAGGGGGCCCTGAGGGCCAAGTCCCTGAATTCAACTCTGACTTCACTGTTCTGAAAGGATGACCTTAGACCAGTGTCTTAACCTCTCTGGATTTCAGTGTCCTTGTCTGAAGAATGAAGATTTTGATGGGTACCTCATAGGGCTGCTGTGTGGCTGAGTGGGAAAGGCAGGACAGAGGGCACCTGGGTGGCTCAGATGGTTATGCATCTGCCTTCGGCTCAGGTCATGATCTCCAGGTCCTGGGATTGAACCCCATATAAGGCTCTCAGCTCAGCAGGGAGCCTGCTTCTCCCTCTCCCTCTGCTGCTCCCCCTGCTTGTGCTCTCTCTGTCTCTCTCTCTCAAATGAATAAATAAAATCTTAAAAAAAAGAAAGAAAGAAGAAAGAGAAAGAAAGAAAGAAAGAAAGAAAGAAAGAAAGAAAGAAAGAAAGAAAGAAAGAAAGAAAGAAAGAAAGAAAGAAAGAAAGGCAGGACAGCTCAGTGATCTTGTACAGTGAGTGTTGAGTGGATGCTAGTCATCATCAGCCTCACTGTTGCCATTGCTTTTGTAATCTAAGTGATGTGGGGACTTTGGAAAACTCCAGATTCTCTTCTCTCCCTCTGCTCTTTTCCTCTATGCTATCAGTCTCACTGTGGATTTTGGGAGAGCTGAACTTCTGTATTCAAGACCATGTCCCTGACAGCCCCGCAGAGATCTTGCCTGACCTGAGGGCCTCTGATTCTCACCCATGCTGACCAACTTTGTGTGTGCATCGGGCAGGTGAGTGGGTGTGTGTGGTGGCGTGGGAGGGTTGAAGCTTGGATTTGGGAATGTTTTTTCATCTTTTTTTTAGTCTCTCACCCTCAGACTTGGGGAATCTATAGAATGTGACAAGGAGACCAATGCATCCACCAAAATGAACATCATCATCATCATCATCATCATCATCAACACAATCACCGCGCTGGGTGTCTACTTGGACTAACATAAAGTGCACAGCCTATGGGTCAATAGAAGTGAGTTCTAGTCCCGGCTTTGTAACTCTAAGTCCATTAATCTCTTTCCGTGTTACACTTTCCTCATCTAAGAAATGGGGAAAAGAATGTCACTCCAACCTCTACAACCAGTGTTGTGTTAGGATAATCAGTACTAATGAAAATGCACGTATGGAGAATAATGTAGACTTCCCCAAATTCATTCCTCATGCATTTTTACTTTGAGTCCCAACAACTGCCCTATGAGTTACATATAAAGGCACTCATTTTACATAGGACAAGTGAGGTTCTGAAAGATTAATTATATATGAATTCAAGGTCACAGAGCAAGCATGTGGCCAACCAGGACTTTAATCCAAGTCTACTGGAAATCCTATCCTTTCCATACCAACATGACCCAAGCCTTACCTCGAAAGAAAATGCAATTTGTAAGAAGCATCACAGTGCCAGGGGTTATATTCTTGATCAGGTTGTTGATTTTCCCCTGGGTTTTCTGATTGACATAGTCATTGATCTGCTTCTTAGTACCTTCCAAGTTCTGGAAGTTGGTGGGGACAGTGTCTGAATCGTACAGGTTCTTGGCATCTGCCAGAAACTGCTTCTGTGGCTGCAGCTTCTGGTCGATGAACAAGGTATTTTTAAGGTCCAGCTCGAGGTCCTGCCTCCCCTGATTCATCCTGTAGATGAGGTAATGAAAGCCTTCATGAAGGTCTCTCTCTGGCATATTCCTGAAGTGGAAGCCCCTCTTGATCTCATCCAGGGTAGAGTCCTGGGCACCCAGAGACAGCATGGAGAAGGCTGCAGAGATGCTCAAGGGGGAGAAGAAGATGTTCTTGTTGGGGCTATTGGAGGCCAGCTTCCTATAAAGGTTGCAGCTGAAGTCTGTGTTTCGCTTTGTGAGCTCCTCGGCTGCCCTCTTTCCCTTCCATGACTGGGTCTGGCTCACAGGTCCACGATACTGTGGTCCCAGAGGGAAGTCGGACGTCAGAAGACCTTCCACAGTGAGAAGGCCAGCCAAAAGTAGGCCCAGGCCCAGCAAGGGGTTCATTTTCCTTGGAGATTGTCCTGTTGAGTAGTAGACTTGAGGTTAGCAGAAAAAAGGAACAAAACAACCCCACTGCCCCTATGATGGAAAGAGAGAAATGGGGAGACATATGTGGTGACATCTTTGGAGTCCCTGGATCAAGCTTTACCTGAGGCTCACACACTTCTGTTTCTCCAAGTTACAAGAGCCAATACATTTCCCTTTTAGGGTTGACTGGTTTGAGTTGGATTTTTTTTTTCCTTACAACCAAAAGAATCCTGACTAATTTGCAGAAATAAAGCCCTTTGTCTAAGATCACATCCCAGGGGAACCCAGGTCTCTAATAAACCTCTTTCCCTACGCTTTTTCCAGGAAAGAGAGGCAGTGTGATAGAGAGGAAAAGCCAAATCTGCTGGCTCCAGGATTGCTGTTCCTGTAGCCACTTCTCAGCTCAGAATCTCCCAACAAGACTGAGTTTTGGGGGCACAAAAGTTTCATTTTTAGTTTTCCCTTCATTTCTAGTCCTAAGGTTATAGAGAGCTGCCAAAAGTATGATATTCTAAAAAGCCTGTTGATTTCTCTAGTTGGACATGGTACTGCCAATGATTTTTACACCAACTTATGTGTCAAATGAAAGCAGATTTTTTCGCTCAATCCTTTGTTATTACTATGGGTTCTCCTGTAATTTACATCTCTGTTTACCTGCAATCCACGGGAAATAGTGCAGTCCTCAACGGTAAAAGCTGTTCATGGTTGTCTTAGATTGGATTCCCGAGAAGCAGAGCTTGAAATGGGGATTCGGGCCTTGCCCGTATAGGAGAAACTCCTCAGGAAGTGAGGGAAGCAAGACAGAAAGGGAAGGAACTGAGCAAGGGTCTGGCCCCTCGTAATATGGGGACTTGGCCTGATCCACGGGAGAGGGCTCTGGAGCATCAACCACAGGGCAGCATCAACCCTGTGGGATGAGGATGCAGGCCGTTTGGACAGTGGTCAGTAGCTAGGGTCTGCCCCCAGGAGACCTGGGGCCTGGGGTAGAACTTCCTGGGTTCAGTTAGCTCCTACTCACGGAAGGCAGTTTTCTGGTTTGGGGAGGGAAGCTGTGAGCTGTTAGCAACTAACCCGCATATCGCCACCAGCCTGGGGGAACTGGGCCCGGCACCAATAGGGTCCACGCAGCTAAATCCCTGGTGCCCGGCACTGAGTAGGCTCTTTCCAGTTGACTGAATGAGAGGATGAATGAACACCTGCACGGGACCTGCGCCTGGGAGTGCCCCAAATCCCCAAGTTCTTTGTGGCCTCAAACCCTCTATGCCAGGTCCTGTGGACACAGCCCGAAGCACAGAGGACAAGGTCTTCAAAAGGCTCTGACCCAGGGTTTGAAAATTCTAGTGGATCTTACCCGTTGCTTCCATCTTCCTAATGGAACTTCATTTTTCTAGGTGTTTCCCCCTCCTTAGACCGCCCATGTGCCTCAGGGGCAGGGCCACCTCCCCAGGTCCAAGGGGGTGTGGTTCAGGAGCTGGACCCAATCCAACCAGGTCACAGTGAGGTTCAGCCCTGAGAGCTGTTCAGGGAGGGGCACAGGACTTCAGGGATCCAAGGAAGGTGAATTTCAGGGCTCTTTGTTGGCGTATTGGGGTGCTGCCCTCGCTCTTTCTCGGGATGTCTGGGGTGGGAAAGTGTGAATGCATGCAGGGCTTTGCAGAGAAATTGGAGCTGGGGCCACAGATTAGGTGAATCCGGAGCCCACCCACCCTGCTTCTAGGCTTCCAGCAGTGCTAGTGTGGGTTACATGAGACCAAAAGCAGCTATACGAGACCAAAAACATCCTAACAAACACAAGTGTGTATAAAAAAATCCCAGGACTACCAAGCAGTGAGGACTCCTGGCTCCGATCTCACACCCCTCTCTGCTGTGTGACACTCAAAAAGGACACCCCCTCTCTGAGCTTAGGTGATCTCTCAGCACCTTCCACTCCTAATGACATAGATTTCAGTAAAAATTAAACGTAGCTGGTGATGGACAAGGGCTCTAGGGACTGTCTGAAGATAAGTTATAGAAGGCAAGATTTGTAAAGCCCCTGAGGATGTTTCAGATAAAGGAAAGAAAATTAAAGATGGAAAGGATTCAATCTCTCAGGTTAGTGGGCTGGACTGTTTACAGAGTCAGCCTGGTTTAAAAATAGGAGCTTCACTTGTTGGGATGAGCCTTGGGTATTGTACGGAAGTGATGAATCACAAAATCCTACTCCTGAAACCAATTTCACGCTATATGATTACTAGCTAGAATTTAAATAAAATTTTGGGAAAAAAAGAAAAGAAATAAAAATAGAAGCTTCTTGTATTCAGAGTAGATGGTGTCTGCCTGGGAGCTAATTCCCAACACCTGGGAATGGAGAAGTTAGCCACCTCCATCAATATGGAGAGAACTATCTCAGCAGTAGGTTCACCACCAGCCAGTGGAGATGCAAAGCCTTTGGGTAACCTGCTTGGAGCAGAGTGTGGGTCCAGGCACAGGGCCAGAACCCACAGAAACTACAGCAGAGGAGGGAAGCTGCTGGAAGCTTCTGGCATGGACAGCACACACACACACACACACACACACACACACACACACACACACACACACTGCTCGGTCAGTGGCCCCTAAAAGTGTTTTCTACTTCTCCAAGTTTTTGGAACAAGAACTGATTATGGAATTAAAAGTCTGGATATTGGTCCTCTCCTGCTTGTGTGTCTGTGAGGTGGCCCAGAAGAAGTCTGTCAACCCTTCGAGCCTCAGTGTCTTCATCTGCTAAATGGGCCAGGGGAGTGATAGTTGGGCCTCCTCCCCACTAGATGCTGCTAATCACCTCGCTGCCCCTGGGGGTGGAGACAAGGACCACACCTTGGCCGGGTCTCAGCTTACCCCACCTCCTTGAGCTTGTGTCACTGGGGTCCCCACCAGCCCCCTGCCCTGCCCCATGGAGTCCCAACAGCCTGGCCTTTCTTCCCCCAAACAGCCCACACTAGCCCCATTTCTGGGCCTCTCCATTCGTCATCACAGGCTCTGAACTCGATTCAAACTTGTTAGATGGGTACCAGTCCCAAATGCCTGAGGAGGCTAACTTTTATTCTATTCATTAAAATAGCTGAGCAACTGGTTATTTCCCAGTAAACTGATAGACTGTCCATGTTGAGCAATTCTTTGTTGGTTCTTAGTTTGGAGTATGTGTTTGTGTGTGGTTGTCACCCTAATAAAATAAATAAACACAATCAGGAAGAAAAAGAACAAGATAGGACCTGAGCCTGGTGGGGGCCACATGGGGCGGTTAAAGCTACCATCCGCCTTGCAACTCCTCTCTGACTCTCCTGTTCCCACATTCCCTTTTAATTTGGGGACTCGTTTCCTTTCTCTTATGAATAGATGAAATAGTATGGCCCTGACTCAGGAGTCATTCCTCCTGAAGAAAGATCCAAGCCGGGCGAGGAGCCCTCTGAAGGAGCGGCGCAGGCACCCTGGGTCTGCACGCGGAGGGGGTCCCTGGGGAGGGGCTCTGCTTTCACCTCCCACACTGTCCTGATGGGCTTCATAATGGGAATCAGCCAACTGAAGAGACTGGCGGGGGGGAAGAGGGATAGGCTAGCACTTTCAACAAGAATCCTGGAAGTCCGTTCGTTCTTACTCTCACTGGTAGTTTGGGAAAACAAGACAGCAGCAAACAGCCCCTGCAGGAATCAGAACCACTCCGAGCATGGCAGTTTGGGGCAGGGAAAAGTTCATGCAGTCTCGGTCCTCAAGCCAGTGAGACTAAAAAAGCTTAGGGTGCTCTGGACGGGTTCCCCTCCCCAGTGGCTTGAGCCCTAGTGAGTGGCTGCCAGCCAGCCACAGTGACCCCTGCTCAGTGAGGGGCCTCTTCCTGCAAGGCTAGACAGAGGTGTCCTGTCCTGCCCTGAGGAACCCCAGACCCCCTGAGACCCCAGGTTCCCTGCAGTCCTTTCCAGAGCTCTCCATGGAGGGCACAGCACTTGCATAAACTCAGTGCCCTCCCTTGGACTACAGGGTTTCAGGCCCCTTCCTAAAGATGTGCCTTGGCACCGCAGAAGACCAGCACCAAGGCCCTGGGCGTCCCAGCTAGGGGCTGGGGTCCACCTATTTTAAAGGACTGATAAGGCTTTAAGGGGAGATTGTGCTAGACATATTAGACATTATTTTTTGAAGCAGGTTTAGAACTAAGTGGTGGTAAGACATATCCTCCCTCCCCTGCTGGACGTGAGAGAAGACCTAGGAACAAAATCCAATGAGTATTGCTGTAGACTTTGTCCTCCTTCCTGGGAAACAGAGGGTGGGACACGAGGCCACAGTCGCACCTCTACATTTGCCCTGGAGATTTCTGTCTTCATCCTTTCAAGAAATATTTGGAGCCTTCGCTCTGTGCCTGCCCTCAGCCTTCCCTGGAGCCCACTCGTGGAGCTCTCTCTCCTGAGGGGCAATATCCCCTGCCGGCCCCACACACTTCTCCAAGTCCTCCTGCACTTCCCAGCTCTTTATCTAGCCCATTCCTCCTGCTTTCAGTGACTTCATTCCAGGATGAGGGAATGCATGGGTTGGAGAGGCTGAGCCACCATCAAGTTCAGGGCCACTCATGCCATAAAGGGGAAAGGGAGGCCCAGAAGACAAGGGAGCTATCTGAGGTCACGCCATGCCTTTTGATGGATCAGAGCGGAAACCCACCTCATTAAGGCAATTCTGCAACAGTACGTGGGCCTGGCTGCTTGACCTCCCTTTCTTCCCCAAAATCGTGAGTTGGTAGATGTAGCTTCCGTCCTCAGGGAGAGATAAAGGTAGACGAACAGCTCACAGACAAGGCTGGGCATAGCCTAAGCCACAGGGCAGGGGCAGACCTGAATGGGAAGGACCCCATTCCACTCTCACCAAGGATTTTCTTCTAGAAAAGCACTGGGGATCGACATCCCTGAAAACGAATCAGGGCTCGCCAAAATGCCCAGCACACTCCTCAAGAGAAGGGTTTTCCGATTTGGAAATCCTCCAGAATTTCCTTCAAGACCCCCACCCTGGGACTGCACTGAATCCTCCCACAACTTTGCACGGAGTAGACAAAGAGCAACCA